CCACCCACGACCACCTGAGAAGCGAGGCCCCTGTCTCACAGAGGCGTGCCATACCTTCTCTTCCGAAGAAACCGTCAGCTTATCACTGGATATCAAGCTGCACACCTGGTCCAGACTTAGGCTAAGAAATTCTTCCCCCAACATCACCTCTGGAAAGTGCTGCTCTGTTCCAAAAAAAGCAGAAGTTAAGAAAACAAAGTTATAACACACTCCTGCCCTTCTGTGAGCCAATGCCACAACAATCTTTGGGAGGTGGGGGGAGGGAGAGAGACAGACAGAGAGAAAGGGAGAGACATCTTGACTAAAGGGAAACTTGGCCTTTCAATTCGGCGGTAAAGGCATCATCACCCTGTGAGATCCTCTGTCCTGAACATCAACACAGACGAAAATAGGGCAGAGAGATCTGAGTTTACATTTTTTTCGAGATTAATAATGGCATTGCAGAAAAGCCTCACTGGGACCTGCCTACTTAATTGAGCTCGTTTCCCTGCAGGGCGCAGGCTGACAGGGTTGCAGACCGTGCCCCCTGCAGCTCCGCCAAACAAAAGTGGGTCAGAACTGCTGTGTGGCTGGAACTCTCTGGGGGTTCTTGCAGGAAGTCAACATTAGAAGGTCTGAAGACGGGATCATCCTTTCTTGCCCAAAGTCAAGTCTACTAGAGCAAGTCTCCGCTCCATGAAGAGGCCCAACTAAGCACCCGTCCAGGCGTGGTGGCAACAGGTTGATCCCACCACCACTAGGAACAGTCCATAGCAGCCAGGCCTATGGAGCTGTAAGACAGAGGGGAATTTGGGGACAACTAGAACAGGACAAAACCCACAAGCCTAAGGTCCACACAAGGGAAATGCCAAGGACAATACCCACCCTGACATTTGCCCAGAGCATCATCCTGTGATTACGGAGCGTTATATTCACTGAAATGTCATATACTTCAGAAAGAAGGAACCTAGGTTCAAATCTGGGCTTTGCCATTTACAAGTGTGTCCTTGGGCCAATGGCATCATCTCCTTGGGCTTTGCTATTCTTTTCTGTAAAATGGGAGCAACATCACCTGTCTAGCCTCGCTCCCATGCTCTGATGAATAAGGATCTGTGAAAGTGTTTTGCGAGGCTCCCACAAGGTGAATCTGCCCAAGGGCTGACAGTTCCTAGTTCAGCAGGCTCTGGAAATAACAGGACCTTTTGCCATTTACCCAGACGTTGTTCCTTTCTCAGTTCTCACACACCCCTACTCCACTGCCCCAAGTGGCATCTGTGCTCCTTGCCCTCCAGGTCTCCCCTTCCTTCTCTGGTGGACCCCTCGAGCCTGGTAGCCTCTTGGATAACTCTGAGGGGCTACACCTCTCAGTGCCTACCGCAAGCAGCCTCTACTTGGTCTGGTTGGCCTCTTACATGAGATTCAGGGTCCCTCCATCCCCGGGAGCTGGTGAAATACCAAGTCTGCTGCAGGGGCATAATGAAAAGGAAAGTCATTGCATGTTAAGCCCCTTTCTCCTACTCATCAACTTCTTTTTTTTAGAGATGGGGTCTCACTATGTCATCCAAGCTGGCCAAGTGATCCTCCCGCCTCAGCCTCCCAAGTAAGCTGGGACTACAGGTGCACGCCACCACGCCCAGCTTCACCAATTTCCTAAGAACCAAAGAACTTAAGATTTAAATCACTTATTGCAAAAATCATTTTAACTTTTTATACTGAAATAATTTTAGACCCAAAGAATTCCCATGTAAGTTCCCACCTTCATCTAGATTCTCTAAATGTGAATAGTTTATTCTCAAAGATTAAGTTATAAACAATCTTTTCCATCTTTCCCAGAACAAAAAGGGCTCCCCACTTGCTCCACACCAGCTTACTGATATCACTGTGGCCACAACTAAAGCTTGTCCACTTGAAACCCAGGAGTGTTTATATATAACAAGGCAAACCTGAAAGTCAGGTTCTTTATGAAGGGAAGCAACTGTTATAAAGTCAGCAGGGTAAGAAGCTGGTCTTTCCTTCTCTATAAGGAAAAAGTCTTTAGTTAACACTTAGTTTTTACATTAAACATTCAAAAAACCTTTTTAACTACAGAAATATTTAAGACCAGATAGTATTATTTTTAAAGTGTTCATTCGTGAAGATCTTAAAATAAAAGCAAGAGTAATGTCCTTTGGATGATGAGAATTTATTCTTGGCCTGGAGGCTGGGAAAGTAACTGGATTCTCCCTCCATGCCCTTTCTGATCCAAGAAGTCCTTGGACCACAGCCCCCTGTCAGTTGGTAACACCCAAGAAACAGTGGATAGAAAAAGCAGTCACGGCACAAGCCACCACGCCATGACAAAGTGCAGGACATCAGGCTCTGTGGCTGCGCCACGGCTGAGCTCAGCAAGACCACTCAGTTCTCAGGAGAGTCAGACACAGCAGCACCAACATCTCGGTGGCCCAGAGACACATCTGGCCTTCCCACATTTATCTTTGTTTGACAAAAAAACTGACATTTGGAGGAGGGAAAAGAGTGAAGAGAACAGGGGGAGGTAAGAAAGTAAAATTCTGTGCTGTGAAATAAG